GGGCATGGTGGTGCATGCCTGTAGTCCCAGCTACTCGGGAGGCTGAGGCAGAAGGATCGCTTGAGCCCAGGAGTTTGAGGTTGCTGTGAGTTAAGATGATGCCACGGCACTCTAGCCCAGGCAACACAGTGAGACTCTGTCTCAAAAAAAATATATGAATGTTACAAAAAGGCAAAAAAAAAAAAAAAGGCTGCAGAAACAGTCCAGATTAAAGAAGGCTATCGAGATATAAACTCAAAACCTAATTCCTATACTAAAAGAAAAAAGATACCATTAAGGACATTACTAGATCAAATGATGAGACTGGAATATAAATGGCAAATTAGATAAAAAGTACAGTATCAAAATACATTTATGAAGTTGATAAACACACTGTGGTTATGTACAGTATATAGAGAAAAGGGGGGGTGATGGTAGAAAGTGCAAATGAGAAGGCAAATGGGGTAAAATGTTAACAATAAGTGAATCTGGGTAAAGGGTACGAAGTTATTCTCTGTACTATTTTTATTTTGCAACTTTTTATAAGCTCTAAATTATTTCCCAAAAAAAGGTAAAAAGCCAATCCAGCATGCTCTGGATCCTATACCCTCACACAATAGGTATTCCTTTCTCTCTCTCTCTCATCTTCTTTTTCCCTCTTCACTAGATCATTCTGCTAAGCTTAAAAACATTTTCCTCCATCTTGTCAAAAAAAAAAAAAAAAAAAGCAAACAAAGCATCTCTTGATCACACCCTCTCTGGACTTACTGAAAGACTTATCTACTCACGTTGTCACACTTTATCACTTTCCATTTATCTTCAACCCACTGTAGCCTGGCGTCTTGCCTCACCACACATTGAAACTAACTCCTCTTGATAAAGTCACCAAACACCTCCAGGTTGCCAACTCCAATGGATACTCTTCAGATATTATGCTACTTGACCTTTTAGCAGCATTTGATAGCACTGATCACACCCTCTTCCTTGACATACCCGCTTCTCTTGGCTTTTGATCAAACATTCCTTTTCCTCCTGCCCCTCTGCCACCTAAGTCTCCTCTACCATTTCCTCATCATCTACCTAACTTCTAATGGCCACAGTTCTTAAGGTTCCCCCCACCCCTCTTTCTCTCTCTCGGTGGTCTCCTCCATTCCCATGGTTTTAAAAACCATCTACAAGCTGATGATGCCCACATTTATTTCTTTAGCCAAGAACTTTACTCCAAATTCTACAGTCATACAGTCCAAAGGCTTTGACATAGTGGATTGAAACTTCTCAAACTTAACATTTTTGAAATTACACTCTTAGATTCCCCCAGCCCCAAATACTGTCCCCCATCTTCCCATTTCAATAAGTGCCACTTCCATTCATCCAGTGGCACAAGTCAGAAAACCCAGAATCATTCTCTACATGTTGAAATTATGAGTGACATTTTTACTTTATGCTTTTCAACAGTTTAAAATTTTCCTACAATAAACATATTTATAAATTAATTAATCAAAATTACAAGAACCACAACATTTCTTTTGAATAATGAGAAAAGAAAAAGATGTGTTTAAACAATGCTTTATAGCTTTTATGCTTGTTCTTAATTTTTGTTTTGTGAATGTCTAAATAAGGTACTAAAAATATTCATTTTCATATTACCAGAAGCGCTTGGATTTATTGAAGACATCAAAGAATCCACTTCTATCTAGAAAAGAGGGAAGAATAATAGGACATGTAATCTTACTGAATGTTTTCCCAGTGCAAGTTCTTAATTCCTAGGCTTGGAGACGGGATGTATTTTATGAGAAACCAACTTTGTTGAACCCAGAAGACAAGTAATGACATACAACAGCTATAATAGTCATTTTACTTTTCCATCAATATATATAAGATACCAGATGCTAATCTACTAGACCCTAATGGCCCCCAAAATATTGACCAAAACAGTTTAAGAACATAAAATCAATTTGGCTGTCCCATAGACAGTGTAATCCAAAAGGTAACCTTTCTGCTTCAGACAAACATAAGCAATTGTTGCAATGGGCTCTATGACTATATTTGAAATTTTTTTTCCTGATTATGAAAGGAACACACAATTGATGTAGAAAATATGAAAAATATAAAAAATTATGAAGGAGAAAATTTTAAAAACCAGCCATCCAATGAAAACCACCATTAATATTTTGTTCTAATCTAGGGTTTTTTCTTATGCATTATAAACATATTTGAGAACACAGTGTATATAAAATTTGAGGATGTGCTTTCACTAAATACTAAAACATAAGCATTTTCCCACATTGTTACAAGGGCTTTATAAACATTACAGAATTAGAACCTTGGCAGTTTGACATAATTTCTCCACCTTCACTCTTAAATGCTTCACAATCTTGGATTCCCTGCACTTTCCTGGTTCCTCTTGTCCCTGACAAATTTATGCCACTCCATCTTCTTCATGGAGTCCTCTGCCTACCTTTAAATGTTAGTATTCCCTGATGTTCTATCCTCAGACTATAGTTCTTCCTACTCTGCATGCTCTTCTTGGGCAATGCCATCCAGTCTCCTGTTTTGAGCCCTAACCTATAAACCAAGGAGTCCTAAATCTACCTCCAGCGCTACCTTCTCTACCCAATTTCAGATTCCTATATCTAAGAGAGGCAGTAAAATCCGAGAGATTTTCACTACCATAACCTCAATACCAGCACAGTATTTAATAAGTGAATGCACCTGGAATGCCCATAGCCGTCTCAAACTCAATGCGTCCCAACACTCACTGACTTCCTTTGAATCTACTCTTTCTGAATTTTCTCTTACTTAGTGACATCTCTATTGCTTCAGTCCTTGTGATCATGGCACTCTCTTACCACCACCACATCCAGTCAATAACCAGAGCACAACTTGCCCCACCACCCACAAAGCAAAGGGTTCTTAGACACTTTGTAGTCAAGCTTCTCAAGTCTAGATGACAGCCAGACTGCTATTATAGTTACCACTAGAATTAGGCTCTCCTCCTTTGTCCCCTTCCCTTTCTGTTCTTCATTCTCTTCTCTATCTTGGTATTTATAACAGAATTTTATAAGTCTCTCTACATTAAACTGTGAACTGCTTCAAAGTAGGGACTGTGTTTCATTCATTTTTATATCACTAGCAACTAACAAGTGTTCTTTTTATTAAATAGGAATACAATAAATTTCATTGTGTAAAACAGTGCATGAGTGTACAGGTGATTTATATGTAAGTGCTTTACTGTTTCATGACCTGCAATCAGTAAATATTTGCTCAAAAGCAATATTCAAAAATTAAACAAATGTCAACCTAGTATAAAAGTAAAAATCTGTTAAATTTCATGGAAGCTATGCATTTAATGTCACTTATGTAATAAAAGTTCTTTGAACAAATGACTAAGTGTTTAGGTGATTTGCTGTATTAATACTTTACTATTCAGTGACCTGCAGTCAGTAAATAGTTCATTTGTTTAAAAAGTAAAATCTAAAACCTCAACCCAGTACGAAAAGTAAAAATCTGTTAAATTTCATGGAGTGTATGTATAGTATGTTACCACATCACTGTAACTGTCATTAAATTCCTCACTTACATTCTAAAATTGAAACCAAATAGACTCAAGAGTGATAAAGGCAAAATGAGACAAGATATCTTTCCAGGTGAACTCAGGTTAAACACAATGCTTCAAAGCACGAGTCTTTTCAGCTGACCTGTTTTGTAATTCCAGCTGAAATGATTGCATGTTAGTGGGAGAACTGCAATTTCAGAGAGGCAGCCCTGACTACTTCTCTGGGCTCTGTAATCAGCCTCTCAGTAACTAAGCATTCCCTAGTAGGAGAGGTGCTCTGAACCCACCTGGGCTGTTCATGCAACCTATTTGGTTCAACAACATATTTACTGTGAAGTTGTGATGCATTTAAGCACACTGAAGGGTGGAGAAGTGGGATGTCATGAGGTCCCTGGCTTTGCTGGGCTTGCTATGTGACTGAAAGGTAGAGTCCACTCATGAGGGCCAGTTGGGCCGTAATTGACTGCCAAGCTGTCTGGTCTAATGAGAGTGAGGTAGAGCATTCCAGGCAAAGCCAAGTGCTCCCTCTGTTTGATGGTTGCTGTCGAATTTCTTGAATCCAGACAATATCTTGACACTGACTAATTCCAGTTCAGCAGCTTAACAAGAAGGGATTTGTCTCTAGAATGAATTTAACAGACAAGCAGAAGAGTACAAAAACAGAGGTGAAAAGAAAACTTGTCCTAGTAAAGTAGGAGGTTCATTAGGGCTCAGCTCAACTCTCATTGGTGCAACCTTTTCCGGAGAGCAATATCTAACCAAATTCTATATGTACATATCCTGTGACCTGGCAATTATACTTCTAGGAACTTATTCCACAGATGCACATCCACAAGGACATAAATACATATGCATATGTATTTAGATATAAAAGGATGCTCATTGGCAGCAATGTTTGTAGGAATAAAAAATAATTGGAACAACTAAATAACCAAAAACAGAAAACTGGCTTAAAAGAACACCATGCAACTATTTTTTCAAAAATGTGGTACTGGTGTGTGCTTTTAGGTTGACCTATTAAGTCAGAAAAGCACGTTAAAGTAGGCATACTAAGCACCCATTTATGCATATGTTTGTCATGGATAGGAAATTTTGGAACAATACACAAAAATCTGTTAATAAAGTTAATCCCTGAGCAGTGGGGCCCTCTGGGACAAGGAGAGTGAATTTCATGTTCAACTTTACATCCTCTGCACTGTTTTAATTTTTTGAATTTTGAATGTATTACTTTTATAATTTAAACAAAGTAAAAAAAAATTTTAAATTTAAGAGAAAGATACTGTGCATGCCATCTCCTATGTGAACTCCTCCTGTTACCAACGTCCCCCTCCCAGCCTTCCCTCTGGATGCCTCTCATATTTATTATAATTATTAGCAGCCTGGTGGTGAAATAGGCTTCCTGGGTTCCAGTGAAGTAGATTTCCAATTCATCCCTGGGTTGAGCTCTTAGGAAGAAAGTAAAATTCAGCACCCCACACGTCTGTGAAAGCAGCGATTGGCTTTATAACCATCGTAAGCTAGCGCTGTGCACTTCTTGTAGGATCCACTCACTCACTACTGTATTGTCTACCCCTTCCCAAATACATAAAAAGAACTCTACCTTGGAGGGCTTGTACCCAAACAGCATTACAACAGCAACTTTAAAGTCCTCTCTGCTTAGATAGCCTTTGTTATCTTCATCACATGCTTTAAATACCTAAAGAACGTTAAATATCTTTAGTTAGTAAGACAGAAACTGTTCTCTTATTTCTATTACTAGTTTATATTAAACTTGGATCTCGAAAAGCCAAAACTCACCCAGGAGTAGAGGTTGAAAATGGAGTTTCATTAAACCAATTTTAATTCTCAAGAAATCTTAATGGACTGAAATTTATCTCAAAAAAGTGCAAACGACTTAATCTCTAGCCTAACACAAATTAATTACTTTAAACCACTGGGATAAATTCTACCCAAAATTCAGTCTTGTAATTAGGAAGGTGAGACAAAGGGGCAGGCTTTGAAAGGCGGGAGGAGAGACGCCGATTCGAGGTTATTATTAATAGACTATGTGGCGGGGAAAGAAGAGAAGGAACTTGGAATTCGCTAGAACTGGACCGACAGCCAGGAGTCTTGCAGCTCTAGGCTCAGTCATTAACCCTTTGGAAGGGCAGTTCAGGTCTTGTTGGTACGGAGGGGCTGAGACAGACCCAAGCGCGGTGACAAAGTGAGAGCGAACCAAGTTGAAGCCCGAGACTCAGAGTCGACCTCTAGACACCTACTTCCACCCACTTCCTGTGTTCCGAAGGGCTGGCTTCCCACGTCCGCGGTCTGGCCCCGGCCTCGGAGAAAAACATCACAAATGTCACAAACTAAGCTCGAGCAGCCGAACCAGGAACCTCCGCTGCCAGAGCCCGCTTGCAACTTGCCGCGGCCACGCCCACCGCGGCTCAGGAAGTTGAACTTCGCCGGGCAACTCCAGCGTCTCCTCCCATTGGACAGCCTGAGAGCCACTCATGTTAATTCCGCAGTGCTATTGGCTAGAGGCTTTGTTTAATAACGTTTCCTTGGAACAGCCTGGGGCGGGGAGGCTCCCAGGCCCGCCTCCAGCACTTGGCTCCGCCCCCTGCGCGGACCCCTTAACTCTTTGCGCTTGGCTGGGTATCCCTCGCATACAGTTGCTAGTTCCCTGCAACAAGTTTCATGATTTCTTCCATTCTCTCCCCTCACCTTGCAATAAGTTACTTTTGATCATTTTGCTCTATGGCACTATGCTAAGCATTATAGGAGACGCAAAGAGTGTGAACAAAGCATAAAAAGAACCAAGTAAAACGAGCCAAGTCCAGGATTCACGCTCAGATGAGCAAGTCATGGGGGTTGTGCTCCCAGGGCAGCTACTATGTCTGTTTTGTCCTCCGAATAACACCAACAACTAGCGTCGAAGTAGGCCTTCAATAAACGAACGAAATGAGCCATTAGGACGTTTACAGAAATTTATTTCATTCAATCCTGTGGGAGAAATGCCTGGTTTGAAAGAGACTCCAAGAATAAATTAGTGTAAACAGCATCGAGACCAGACTCTGCAGCAAGCATCCTTTTTAAAGGCAAGGAATAAGGGGAGATTTCCGTTTTGCAAAAGTTTATCTCAGAACCCTCTTGGCAAATCGGTGAGTTTAAAAAGAACACAAGTGTTTCAAAGAAGAAACAGACATTCGAGGTTCTGAGTCTGCTGGGAACTCATTTAACTTTTTATTTCACAGCAGGTTTTAAAGCCTGCGACCGAGGAGAGCCCGCTCCTCCCAGAACACAGGTCTACCAGTCCGCAGCTGCCTTTAACCTCACCTCATCCTTTCTCCGACTTTCAGACAAACATTCCTGCTTCGAGCCCTGGCAGCCCCAAGTCTACGAGAATCCTCACAAAGAGGTTGAGTTTTGCTAATTAACTGGATAAACTAGAACGCCTTTCTATTTCTCTCTTTTTTTTAAGAAGTCGCCAGGAGACGAGCCCGAAGCTAGGGAAGGCGGTGTCCCTTCTGTTCCTTCCTGGGGAAGCACCCGGCAACGCCTCTGGATCCGGCGGTCTTTAGGACCCAGAGGCGGGCTTCCCGGAAGGGGAAGGGGCAAGGCTGCTAAGTGCGCGCCGCGGCCTGGAGGGTTTGAACTGTGCGCATGCGTGGCAGCGCCGAGGAGCGGGATTCCAGGATTGTGCGTGCCTGAGGTACGTGTCGGCGGCTGCGGGCTCGGCGCTGTGTCTCGGAGGTTGCCGCGGGGCCCACGATCCTGCTCCTGGCCGCGTCGCGAAGCGCGGGCTACTGGGGCCCGGCAAATTTCTGAGTGTCGGGCAGGGCTGGAGGCGGGCCGCGACGGAAGCGGTGCAGTCCTCCTGCTCCCCGGTTCCTCCAGTAATAGCGGCTCTGAGGGGCCGCGTAGCAGAGACCCGGCTCCTGCTGGCGTTCTCATTCCATCTTTTCCACTTATGGGCGGGGAGGTGGTCTCGGACAGTTGGTAAAAGCTGGCGCAGGCTGAGCGCGCACCGCGTGCCAGGCTTAGTCTTTCTGTGCTCAGTTTCCTAGTAAGTGGGGATGGTTGTAGTACGTAGTATAGAGCTGTTGTGAGGGTGAAATGAGTTTGTATCTGGTAAGGTGCTGCAAATTGTGTCTGGCCCCAGGCGAGCGCCCAGTGAAGTTAGCAGCTGTCGCTGCTTCCTCACCGCACCCACTTCCATCCCCACCGCCTTCAGCATCTCCCCGAGCCCCTGCAGGATCCTTTTCTCTTTGACTTTTGTCTCCCTGCACACCATTCTCCATACAGAATAGTAGCGAACGTAATACTTTAAAAAGGTAAACTGGACCATGGTACTCCCCTTATTAAAGCTCCCAGCGGGGCCTCGTTGTTCTTAGGACTAAATCCAGCGCCTTTAAGACGCCTTGCATCTTCCCTCATCCCTTTCATCCCAGACCACTGCCTGCCTGGCTTAAGCCCTTCTATTTGCTCTTGCAGTTTGGACCTCGTTCCCACCTCCTGGCCTTAGCAAGTTGGGGTCCATCTATCTGAAATGCTCTTCACCCCATCTTTTAGCTAGCGAGATCATTTTCATCCTCTGGGTCTCACTTAAAATGTTACTTCTTAGGAAAGTATTCCCAAGTAAGGGCATCCTTTTTTTTTCTGTCTCAAAATTTCTGTAATTAGCTTTTCTTAAAATTTTTATGTTGGGTCTGTCTCTTCCTGATATTAAGCTCTTCTGGTGCAGATACTGTATGTTGCTAACTCCCTATACCCGTTGCTTGGTACAAAGTAGCTGCTTAACAAGTTGTTAAATGAACCCTGGGAGTTAAGCATGTTACCCATTATACAGATGAGGAAACTGAGGCTCAGCTGTTAATCTAAGTGTTCATTTACCACCCAGTAATGACTGGGTTTGAAATTGGGTCCCATGTTTACCCACCACTGGCCACAAAGGACCTCAGCTGCACAACCTGGCTCCCAGGCCCACCTGATGGTCTTTAAGCTTTATGAGAAGGAGCAGCTGAAGGTGTAAAATAAATGCCCCAGCTGGGTCTGGTATGGTTGGGGTGAGGGGAAGCACCTGCAGGTCTAAATGGAGTACTTTTTCACATCCACAACATTTTTTAAAGTCTTTAATAAAAGTTCTAACTATGTTCTGAGTTGGCATTTTATGGGAGAATTTCTTTAGATTTTTCATCCTCTCAGTGCAATCTTTGCCAAATTTCACTCACCTGCCTCCCTAGTTTTTGTTTTATTCTCTTAACACATATACTATTGTTTAATATTTTTATTTGAATACAGTCACTTTTTTACATAAACATTGTCTCTTAAAAACCAAACTTTATTTTGTTTGTTTTTTTTTTAGACAGGGTCTTGCTTTATCACTCAGGCTAGAGTGCAGTGGTGTCAGCATAGCTCACTGCAACCTTAAACTCCTGGGTTCAGTGATCTTCCTGCCTCAACCTCCCAAGTCGCTGGAAGACTTTATTTTGTTAGGATAAATATAATGGAGCTATAAGAAACCTTCCATTGTTGGTAAATGTTGGTGCCTGCAGAAGAGCCCAAACCTGATATTTGCAAGCAAGATTAAAGGAATTTCTACAAAACTACAACGTTCTCCTTGATTTAAACAGGGAGCTTGGATTGGAATGGAAAAGGGAGATAACTTCACAATGCAGTGTTAATTAATATCAAGTCCCAGACACCTCCACTTTGGGAAACACTGCTGTCCTGATTGAATGCCAGGACTCAGAATTGGCCCAACTGTATTGTATTGCAATTCTTTCAGCACCACTTACAAAAAGTGTGACTTTACACTTATGCTGTACCAGGCACTGCCCAGTGAAGACAGAGATGGTAAACAATTGGAGAAGAGCTCCCTGGGTTCTATACTTACAAAATTGTGTGACTTGATTACAAAGCTCCCTGGAACGCTGGGAACTTATGCCTATAGGAGAGAAGTAAAGTTCTGACACTGGTGTCCAGATCCAGTTCTGCAAAATAAAAAGTTCCTGTTTGATCATTTACCAACAGCTCCTCTTTAACAGGCCAGGTCCTTGATTTCGTAAAGAGGTTGGTAACCTGCTGCACTTAATAACAAGACAATTCTATTGATGTGTTGCATTAAATTGTAACCCTATAAACTGTATTGGGTTATTTGCCTTTAGTGAACAACTCTCAGGCATACTTTCGAGTGTCAGCAGATCCAAAACTGTGTGTATAGAGCAGGACCAAAAAAAAGGCTTTGTTCTTTAGGAAATGTCTGTCAGAACTTTATTTTTTACCTTTTTACCCATTTGTCCTACTTTGGATGGAATTCCACTCCCATATGGTTTTAGAAAATGTAAATAATGATAAAACTAAAAACCTTAGAAATCCTCTGGTCCCCAACACCACCTTTCCCCCACAGCAGGTGAATAGTGAAAACGGACAAGTGAAGCTCCACCTGCACCCACAGCCGCTCCTCATTGCTGGCATCACTGCCCAAGCCCCGCCCCTTCGTCACTGGGGGCATCAGACCTTCATAGGAGCGTGAACCCTACTGCAAACTGCGCAGGCGAAGGATCCAGGTTGCGCACTGTTACAGTGGAAAGCCTAGTAGATGCTCATGGTGCAGGTGGAGAAAGATTTCTCAAGCAGAAATTAAGATGTAAAAGTAAAAAAGTTTATTTTATCCTTTAGAAGGACAGAGAATGGGGGGAGGGGGGAAAGGGAGCAGGGAGATGATATGGCATCCCAAAGAAAGAAAGGAGATACCAGCAGTGAGGCCAAGTGGCTTGCTGCCTTTATGGGGACAAAGGAGAAAATAGTAATTGTTGTGGAGTAATTAACAGGCAGCTTTGAGATGTCAGGTTGTCCACCTTTCTTGTTTCTACTGTTCTTGGAGACTTGGTTATCTCTGAGATATAGTCAGGCCTGTCACAGGGGATGTGATTTAGCCCCTGAAATAGGGTTTTGGGCTGGAAACAGAGGCCTGGAATTTATCCTCCTGCTGTCCATCCTGGGGCTTCTCAGGAACCCCTCCAGGCTATAGAAACAAATTCTAAAAGTGGTGAGCTGGTGAAATGCAAAGAGAAAGATTTACATTTCCTTTCTGGGCTCTTTTCAGGTGTTAGTGAAAAACGGAATCCCAGCAGGTTGCCTGCCAGTAGAGAGAGCGCTCATAGGATTGATCTTTAGCTGTTATTAGAAAATTACAGGATTAGATATTTTCCTGTTGTTTTAGCAAGGCTGTCCTTACATACGCTGCCCGTGAGAAAACAACACCTCATGATCTGAGTTGGAGCGGAGGCGGCGACCTCCCCCACCCCCTGGTCTGTGGAAAAACTGTCTTCCACGAAACCGGTCCCTG